TCCGTGCAGATTCAGATATTGATACTATAGCATGTGAGTTGTCCGTGTGGATCTAGATATTGATATTATAGCACGTGAGTTGTCCATGCAACACGTGAGTTATCCGTGCGGATTATAGCGCTTGGGCTGAAGGAGCCCCTCCGGAGTCTGCACCCGCCAGTGAGCGCAGGTACCTATTGAGTGCCGTGTGATTGGGAGGACTGAGTGGATTGATACTCTGAGAGTATGCATATGGCTGTTCACTATGTTACACTGCATTGACACGCACACTTGACATATAGTCATAGAGATGCATTTTCCTCATGTTGTACGGTATCACGTCATTCATGACTTCTCATACACATTGACATGTAGACATAGAGATGTACTTTATCTCGTGCCATTTGATAATGAAATATTTACAATCATGATTTTACAAACTTACTCATATTTTGGTATTTTCGGTAAAATATTTGGGTTTATCACAGATATACTTGAAAAGCATGCCTATTTTATGGAATTATGAACGAGTTGAACATTATATTTCTGAGCTATTTACTGTACCACTTTTTATTATATTGTTATGAGCTGTTGTTGGCTATTGGTGTTGGACTTTGACTTGTGTTCCAACTCGTCATTACTTTCAACCTAAGGTTAGGCTGGTCACTTACTGAGTACATGGGGTCGGTTGTACTCATACTACACTTCTGCACCTTGCGTACAGATTTTGGATGTTGATGCTGCTATGATCGACAAGAGTGTGATTTGAAGACATACCTGCATTCCTTTTGTAGCCACCTCTTGTTCATGGTAGCCTTAGATTTTTAAAGATCTGTTTATGTACATTTCGAACAGATGATGTATTTATTTCACACCAGTTTTGTAAATTCTAATGTTAGAGGCTCATGATTTGTACTACCAGTCCTTGGGAAGTTCTTGAATAAAAGCGGCTGTAATTTCATTTCTTTCCATAATAAATCTCATTTGTATTGGTTAGTAGTTAATTGGCTTACCTGATGGGTTGAGTTGGGTGCCATCACGACTAGGTGAATTTTGGGTCGTGACATTTGTATATGGGCTCCTACCCCTGGGTGTTGTGGCATTGGTAGCTGATGTTCTTCAATTAAATTTTTAGAAGCTAACGCTCTTCAGTTAGCCGTATAGAGCTTGCTGGAATATTAGTATTTCTGGTCCGCAACAACCTTTTTTGATTTGTCAAAGATGTAAGTGTTCCTGCTTGAACGAATGTCGAGCTTTTCACTTTTTTATTTTGTTTTTCCCTTCTTGCATCATGACTACAATTTTGAAGCAAGTAAAGATATCAGCAGCAACATTGGTGGTAAAGATGGAATGAAAATTATCAAGAGCAGAACTATCTTTGAGACGATGACACCATAGAAATCAGAAGTTCATCATTTGAGTCCATTGTTTCATCTCAATCTACAGGAAATTTGCTTCCGGTTGCAGCTAAAGTTGACGATAGTCATATGAACGCGACATTCCATGATCAGATTCTTGGGTTATATGAACGGTTCTCACATATTAATGTCGCTTAAAATGAACAAAAACTGGATGATGGTTATAATCATTTGCCTGCAGCTGTAGCACCAGCTCTTCCTACTGTAATTGGTGGTGCAGATGCTATGTTATCAACTGGTTTTGTGAAATCTACAGCTGCTAAAGATGGTGAGAAAACAGATCATGGTGCACCTACTAGGCTGAAGTTATCAGCAGAAGTATTTGTTGGTGTTCCAACAAATTATTTTTTATTTCAAATCATTTATACTATTGTGATCAAATTTCAGAAAAGAGAAAATCACTCTTACCTTCAATCTGGAGAAGTTGGATTTCCTATTATGATCAGATTTCTCAGCTATACCAACAAATTCAATGACAACAATATTCTCTTCACGTAACTAATTTGCAGCACCCTGAAAAAAAGGTAAGAAGGCAAATAGGTTATTACGATGGTCTAAGAGCAGAGTGGAGACATGAGGACCAAGGCAACCAATGACAAGTAAAGACACCAGCACATATTTCCAATTGCATATCACACTATTCAGAATTTAATCAAGATTGACATGGAAAAAATAATTAATTTACAATCCACAAAAACCGAATTACAGAATAATAAAAAAAGGAAGATCAAGTATCATTCTTTCTCATTCTCTTTCAAAGCAATTGTACAAAGAAGAAAAGAACAAAATACAAAAGACAACTCTTCCAATGTTTTCATATTCAATAATCAAGAACCATCCAATCCCAATTAGTGTCATCAAAATCATCTTCCCTTTCTGATGTATCCATATCTTGTGAATGTTGTGCATGAGATGGCATATCAATAAAATCACCAGGTACATCTTCTTTCGACCATATGACGTCACCATCGGGTAATCTATTTGATGAACCAATGTCGTCGTCGAGCTCCCTCCAAAATGTGTCCCCAACATTAGGACAATTTTCTTCCTCCAAATCATACAAGTCAACAGGGATTTTGGTCCTTTCATAATAAATATTTTTCTCATTTGGATCCTCCACATAAAAATCTTGATGCACTGCATAATCTATTGAAATTTACCTGAGTTAATCCATATCCATCTATTTTGTTATGAAATCAATCACATCTAAGCAATACAACACTAAAATAACCCCAATAATCAATTTCAATAATATCCTGAATAGATCCATAATAGGTAACCTCTCCATTGATGGGGTTTTGTTCCCTAGCACTAGCAAAACTATCGGTTGTTGCTAATAAAGTCACTCCATAGTTTTGAGTCTTTAATCGAGTATCCCGTTCCATCGTATGAAATTGTTATCCATTATTGAAATATCCAGTATATCGTTTTGCCACCATATTTGGCCCTTTAGCTAGCCATCGAAATAGAAATGAAAGAAAATACTTTGTAACCCTAAATTCTCTCTACATAGGCGACTACAAAGAACAGTAACTTCACGGACAAAAATGGTCACTGATCCCTTGTCTGGTGGTGAAACTTCACCGGACCAGTCCCAACAATTGCGTATCCCTGTGCACAAACCCCAGGTAGGCGCCCCTATAAATTCTTCCCCATCTGCTGCAGAAATCAACAATGGTGGAATTATCAGCTCACCTAAAAATCGCCAGAAAAGAGCAGGAATAATCTGCAACGTCCCTAGGTCAAATCGACTAACTCAGACTCATGGGGATGGCTCAACACATCATTTACAGTCAACCCACATAGTCTCATACAACACCAGAACAGGAATCCTTGACTCTGAAAAAGGGAACAATGTCGACAAACAGCTGCTGGTCGCACATGGAGCTGTATATGTCAAAATTTTTCAAAGACAATGTCAATCCGCTACAATTGATCTAGATATTGATCCCAAAACCTCAAACAACAACCACGCTGAATAATTCGTTACAACATGGAAGAACATAATATACGCATAAACGAATATGCCATCTGTTCGATGAAATGCCAAGGTCAGTTTTGATTTCAATATTAATGAACGGATGAATGGTTGTGCTTCACAAAGTCATGTTGAGATTAGTCGTCATGAGAAATCGCAAAAACACTCAACAAACGGGAGTGATGCAAAGATATCACCTACAACAAACAACAATGTTGTAGGGACATATTTCTACTGTGCGTTCTGAGCTTCGAGATGAGCTCAATCCATGTGAGATACCTGTCGCCAACAATAACAAAGTGATTGATAAGCCACTAAGCAGCCCGACCCCATCGCCTTCAGGATGTCCTAAGTACATACAAGATACAAAATGAGTAGGGTCACAAACTATCAATTGTGGAGAATACACTGCTGAACCATCCCAACACCAGCGCAAAAATATCCCTCCCAACCAAAATCTAACTACTATTGACAACCTATCTCTACTACAACATCTTAGCCAATCACCTCCCTCAGAACCTACATACAAGGTCCCAAAGATTTCAGCTAATTATGGTAAACTAATTCACCACAGAAAAATTATGGTAAACCATTTCAGCTAAATGGACCACAGAAACAGCTGGATCAGCTTCTTGTGGTACAGAACAACAATCAGAGTAACAAGGAAAATAGGGGGTTGCAACACCAAAATGAGGAACAACATCAAAGCTTAAACCACAAGGCAACAAATCAGCAACAACCAAGGGATAACCATTCTAAGGATCAATGGCATACTCAAAAGAAAAGAAATTTCAGTGGTGTAAACCAAAGAATCAGGCAATAGAAATTTAACCATCCAGCAGAACATGTAATAGAGGCACAAGTGACCAAAGTAGACAAGTCCCCAGCTAGAAAATCTCAAGCTGTCAGTCCGGTTTTCCTAGAGCCTTTGGAAGATCCCAGTTCAAATCCTATAATCAATGATCCAGAGGTTCCATTTCAACAGCAATTGCACCAGTGCCCATTGCATTAGCCTCCGCTACTGGATCTCCAATGTAAATCCAATTAAATATTCCATTGATACACCCAAATCAGGTACTACATGACCTCATCACACATAAGGAGTTGCCTATTGAGGTTCATAACACTTTGTTGGATAAGCAACAATTAGAAGATGAAGCTGATGATGAAGCTACTGCTGAGAACTCTAAAGCTGTTGCAAGGGAAGGAGATTTTTCACCTAGGCTTTCATCCAGAAATGGAAAGGAAGGCAAGAAGCAAACACAGGCTAAGGAGACACTACCACCTACAAGAATCGTGCCCAAGAGGGCAGCCTCAACAACTAGATGATGGTTAAAATATTGATATGGAACATAAGGTCTGTCAAGACTCAGCAGGCCTTCCAAGGAGTTATCAGCATGCAAAAGCAACATAGATTTTTCATTGTAGCACTTTTGGAGCCTTTTCAAAGGCAAGGGTTAATTCACAACTACAGGAGAAGGCTGGGTATGGAAAATGCAATCTCAAATGTCAATGGAAAGATATGGTTATTTATTGATACTATGGTAGAGTGGGAGTTACTAATTGATACTGAGCAATAGCTAACAATCAAAGTATTTCATCAAGATATTGGTAAGTACATCATGATGACTTTTGTATATGCAAAATGCTCATCACTGGAGAGATTAGAACTTTGGGATAATCTATATTACCTTACTATTGGTATGGAGTTACCCTGGTTGGTTGGAGGATATTTTAATGTTGTCCTTAATGAAGAGGAGAAAATAGGAGGATTGCTAGTGTATCTACCAGAGTATGAAGATTTTGCTTTCTGTGTCAATTCCTGTGGACTGTTTGATACTGGATACAAAGGTAGTCCTTTTACATGGTGGAATGGTAGATCCAATGAAGAATGCATATTCAAGAGACTGGATAGAATCTTTGTCAATCAACAATTCAATACAATATTCCCAACTATTGAAGTGGAGCATCTCATAAGGACTAGATCTGACCATGCACCATTGTTGATGAATTGTGGGGAAGATGCTGCTTATTTTGTTAAACCATTTAAGTTTCTCAATTTCTAGAGAACACATGACTCTTTCAATGAGGTGGTAAAGCAGAATTGGGTGGCAAACTTTGCTGGTGACCTTTTTCTAATGTTCAAATAAAAGTTGAAGAGGGTGAAAACAACCCTATCACATTGGAGTAAACTTACTTATGGAGACATATTCAAGCAACTGGATATTAGGGAAGATATTGTCAGGATTAAGGAGATAATGTTTGAAGAAGAACCAATAAGGGAGAACAGAATTGTATTGCAGCAGGCACAAGTAGAATTGAAGAGCTATCTTAGCATTAAAGAGCAGTACTGGAAATAAAGGGCAGGGATGAAATGGTTTGTTGAAGGTAATAGAAACATCATCTTCTTCCACAATCATGTCAATGGCAAGAGACAAAAACTTCAGCTCAAAAGAATTCAGAATGTTGTTGGTGATTGGCTTGAAACAAAAGAATCTATTGCTAATGCTGCAGTGGAATTTTATCAACAACAATTCACACAGGAAGGAGAGTTTACAAGTTCTGAATTACTTCACAATGTACCTGCTATGATCACCAATGATCAAAATCTAGAACTCTGTCAGTTCCCTACAATAGAAGAAGTCGAGAGTGCAGTCTTCGCAATGAGTGGGATAGTGTAGGTGGGCCCGATGGCTTCACTGGACTTTTCTATCAACATTGCTAGGACACTATTGGAGAAGACATTTACAACATACTGCAACAATTCTATACAGGGGTATCATTGCCAAAATCTTTAACACAAACAAATCTAGTACTGCTTCCTAAGATACAACAAGTTCAAACATTTTCTGACCTAAGGCCTATAAGTCTTAGTAACTTCATCAATAAGGTAATCTGAAGGGTGTTACATGACAGACTGGAAAAGATCCTACCAATACTTATTTCTCCCAACCAGTCTGGGTTTGTGAAAGGAAGGAGCATATTTGAATATATTTTGCTTACTCAAGAGATTTTCAGTGATATAAGGTTAAGAGGGAAGATAACCAATATGGTGATCAAACTTGATATGATAAAGGCATATGATAGGGTATCTTGGAGATACCTAATGCATGTGTTGAGGGCAATGAGATTTGCTGAGCACTTTATCAACATGGTGTGGAGCTCATTGGCTAACAACTTGTATTTAGTACTAATCAATGGTCAAGCTTCAAGATTTTTAAAGTCCAGCATAGGTGTCAAACAAGGGGATCCATTGTTTCCATGTGTCAAACAAGGGGATCCATTGTTTCCATCACTATTTATTCTATATGCAGATGTACTATCACGATCACTGAATAAGTTGTTTGAAGACTAGAAGTTCATAGGATTTGGAATGCCAAAGTGGACAGACCCATCAAACCACTTGGCATATGCTAATGATACAATAATTAGCACATCAGCTGACCCTTACTCCTTAGGAAAAGTAGTAGAACTACTCACACTTTATGAACAAACATATGGACAGCTGATTAACAAGACAAAGACCTCTTACTACATGCATGACAAGGTGGCAAGATGCATAGTTGATTCTAATTGGTTTGTGACAGGTGTTAAAAAAGGTAATTTCCCTTTCACTTACCTTGGGTGTCCAATTTTCTACAAAATGAGAAGAAAGGATTACTACAATGATCTAATCAAGAAAGTGAAATCAAAATTACACTCTTGGAAAGGGAAACTACTATCTTTTGGAGGAAAGACTACTCTTATAACTAGTGTACTTCACAGCTTGCCTACTCATATTCTGTCAGTTCTGGACCCTCCTAATAATGTCCTTCAACATCTACATAAGATGTTTGCGAGATTCTTTTGGAGCACTAAAGATGAGGGCAGACGTAGACACTGATCCAATTGGCTAAATCTGTGTCTACCAAAGGAGAAAGGAGGACTAGGGCTAAAATCTTTGTTTGACGTTTCAAAATCTTTGTTTGCCAAACTATGGTGGAGGTTTAGGACTATAAAATCATTGTGGTCCAATTTCATATGGAACAAATATTGTAAAAAGGAGATGCCTACTATTGTCCAATTCAGACAAGGATCACATGTTTGGAGAAAAATGATATAAGCAAGAGAAGATGTGGAACATGAAATCCCGTGGGAATTGAATAGTGGTACCACTAATATATGGCATGAAAACTGGACTGGTATTGGAGTTTTATATCATGTTGTACCTCAAGATTTCAACATTAATGAACAAATAGTGGAAGCGGTAGACTTGAGATATGGGAATGTCTGGGATGATCAACTTCTGGGGAAAACTTTTCCGGAAAACATTGCTGAACACATAGGGAATGAAGTTTACTTTAATTAGAGTGATGACCACTGGGATAAACCTATTTGGATGCCCAAAACTTCAGGTAAATTCATAGTTAACAGTGCATGGAAGATTCTGAGACACAGAGCATCAGATAATCCAAAATTTAGCAAGCTTTGGACAAAAGGATTACCTTTCAAAATTTCATTCTTCCTATGGAAATTGTGAAAAGGAAAGATTCCTACTGATGATCTAAGGAGAAAAAATGGATATCTAGTTGTGTCGAAGTGCTGGTGTTGCTTACCACCACATGAGGAATCATTCCAACATCTATTCCTAAAGAGTAATACTGCAGACAAAGTGTGGAAACACTTCCTTCATGCAGCAGGAATTATAGTACAGTTGGTGTAGGTACATCAGGTGATAAGAGCATGTTGGACTGAGACATGTTGCCCAAAACTTAGGCCTTTATACCAGGCTGCACCTACAATTATTACATGAGAACTTTGGAAGAGGAGAAACAAAATAAAGTATGGTGGCACAATCTCTGCAAACAGGGTGATCCATGAGGTTAACAAAACTTTACATTTTCTTGCAAGAGAAAGATACCCATGGCTGTCAAACATCCCATTACTATGGCTAGATATCATCAGATATTTTGAAGACTACAAACCATATGTAGTGAGCAGAAGAGTCACTTGGGAGCTACCCTATGAGGGGTGGTTTAAATGTAACATAGATGGGGCATCCAAAGGCAATCCCAGGCCTAGTTCATATGGTTTCTATGTATGTGATAGTGCAGGTGATTTAGTATACGCGGATGCAACACCAATAGGAGATACAACCAACATTGTGGCAGAAGCAAAAACACTTCTAAATGGTCTAATATACTATGTTGAGCAGCAAATGCACCCACTAATCATGGAAACTGACTCTTTGGTGATGCAAAAGATCATCGATGGGGAATGGGAATGTCCATAGACTATACGTGCAGAAGTCAAGAAGATAAAGGTCATCAAAAATAGCTATAATGTCCTGTTTCAGCATGTGCTTAGTGAGGGCAATGCAGTTGCAGATTTCTTAGCTAACTTGGTTTTCTATTTTGCAAGTAATACAACATTCCACTCGTTTGAAAGTCTACCTACTGTAGGAAAGACGCTCCTTAACATGGACAAAGCACAAATCCCTAACATTAGAGTAAGGCTTGCAAAAAGGAAAGCACCAGACTGATGAATATATTCAGTTCACCTATCCTTGTTGTGGTTACTAAACAAGTTATTTATTATAACTCTTAAACTAGAGGTTCAGAAAATTCTCTGAGCTTTTACAGAGAACTATAAGCTAGGGGCTTACCACATGTTTGTTAGAAGGTTTGCAACAATGAGAACCTTCAATTACTAGGACTGATTGTGCTAGAATACATGAGAGCACATTCGTTGGTTGATGAATCGGTATATGGGATGACACTGTCCAGTTATTCCATTTGGAATAAACCAGACACTTATTGGTTGGTTATAGCTGCTTATGCACAAACACATAGCAATGTATTCTGGCAACGGATTCTTCTGTGCTACTTATACTGCTGGTCTTTTGATACTGTGGGTTGGGAGGTATAACATGGTAGTATGCTATCTTACTGCAAAGCTCCCAAAACACACAAGAACCTAGGAGCAGATTCTTTCCTCCTAACTTGTTTGCTACATTTTGACGGTTCCAGAGATAGGCTCAAAATATTGAGGCATGAGCATGGAGTGGTCTTAGCATCCCAAATACATAAGTATTCATTGACGCTACAACTACAAGTTTTCTCCTACAAATACATCAACGGAACATCACTTCACAGCAAGATCAAGCTATAATGTTGTTGCACACGACCTTACTATTGCTGGTGTGAATTTAAAAGTACTTACTGTTTATTTGTGGTCATATTAATTCCCAGTGGTATTAGCATGTTATCTTGCTCATTCTGGGAGTTGTTCGAAAACTTACAACAAAAACACTTCAGCAACCCAACTTTCAGTATACAACAGGGGAAAAAATTGTAAGATACCCTTATATGTCTCTAAATAGATTTAGCATTATTATGGGACTGTTATAGCAACATAAACTGCTTGGCATGTTCAGCAATCTGCTGCAACTATTCTGGCATTTGGAGAATCATTTTTACTTAGCTCTCTTATCGCTTATAGAAATTCATTGGATCTTAGCTGTTTGGTTGGTAGAAGTTAACAACTACACACTACGTCTCGCGCAGAGGAAGCTCATAGTTCTATGCACTACAACAACTCTGATGCTGTATTTTCAATTCTTCAGCCCCAAATTAAAGATATCCGACCTTCAATGCTTTATGAAATGTGGATTTTTAGATACCTATCACACACTGGATCCCATGGACAATTTGCTGCATTTTATGGTTTCATCATCACACGTGTATAAGTATTCATTAATGCTACAACTGCAAGTATGCTTCTACGACACATCAAAAGATCATCATTCCTCAGAAAGATCAAGTTACACTGTTCCTGTACAACACCTTACTATTTTTGGTGTGCTTTTGAAGAAGCTTCTACTGAGGAGGTTGATTATGCTGCATTCTTTTGGACTATATCCTTTCTTTATCGATATGTTTCAACATTCAGTAGTATTAGCATTACATAATGCTCAATCTGTGGTTGCTGCATCACTAGACGGGAAGATACAATTTAATTTCCCCAACCTTTGGTTTCCACTGCTACTGTTCTGCTGCCCCATTATCAGCATTTTGGTTTTTCATTGGCTTAACACTCATCCTGGTAATTGTGGAGAAATGATTCATTATCAAGTGTTCAAACAAACGCTTGACAGAATATACGAACTTGTGAAGTCACAGAGTCGTATCTCAACACATATTGGTCAGATGCGCTTCAATGGTCATATGGCTCAACTATCAATTGCTGCGATGGACAAATTAGGGAAGTTCACCGACTGTGTGGAGATGAGTCATCTCCCAGTGATTCAATTGTCCTTAGCTGGGGTTTTGGTCAACCTTTCTCAATGCATACTGGACCTCAAGCAAAGAAATCTCAAATG